GGCATTGGGTCAACCCAAAAAAAAATTAAGCTGACCAAATAACTTTGCGGTTCGCCTCCGACGGCTCACCGTCATATAGAACCTTGCGTCAAGCCACTTTAATAACAGGAGTGTACATCGCTCTGCGATGATACATCTTCGTAGCAGCAGTAGCGAACGAGGTGGCCCCATCGGCAGTTGCGAGTGTAGACTGGGTATATAGTACAGTGCGAGTTAGTTGGGGAGTGACTCATGTGTCTGCTGATACGACAAGTCAGCGGAAGAAAGTTAATGCTGGCCCTTTATTCCCTCACGACCGGATTCATCTATAACAACTTGTTTCGTTGACGCGGTAGCAAATCAACCTGAGAGACGGGTAAATAGCGGCATGAGGTACATGTATAACTGGATTAGTGTGGGGGCATTCGCAGGAAGTCACAGATCAAGCGAACTTCGATTTAACAACAACTGCATGACCATGGCGACGAAATCAGGAAGCAAATCGAAAAACCGAGTAGCAGAACGGAGCGGCAAAGCGATTCGGTATATCGATGATTAAGTGAGCCTTAGTTCGTGGTCGATTTCCTGTCCATTTTGGACCAAAGTATCCCCGTCTTTGTTTGAGTGTACAGTGAACGCGTGCCTCAATATTTTTGCGTTGATTACATAAGGCTTTCTATGCTTTGAGGGGAAGCAGCGATAACGGTGACCCATGGAACAGCTAGAAGTAATGCACGTTACGTTTGCCTTTAACACCTGTTCCATTCGTGCGTTTGTCCTTCCGAATGGATTTCCGTGTGCACGTACATCAATATTTTTTCCAGAACTCTCTCAGAATGCCTCGCTCATTTATCGACTCTTGTGCATCAATGACCCTCTCGTTGTCGATGAGATAGATAGCCTCTGTTCCTAGACCAGCCTACCTCTTCTGCTGACAACCTCCTGTCTCGCTTTCGTCTATAGGAATGCCTCCCTGAATCTATTTTCCCATTAGATCGATACGAATGTAGCTTATAGCTCAACTTCCGACAGCAATGTTTTGATCTTTAACATCTTCGTCATAGCGTCGTTATTATAGTTGTTCTAAGCGTTGTTTAACATAACGATGCGTAATTTCAAGCGCCCTTTCGGCTAGAACTGTACATCGCACACGCACATGTGCTTGCGTGCGTGTTCGCCCGTGCAAACGTTTCCAGTCGATCTCTGCTACTTTTTTTTCTTTATTATCGTCATTGTGGTCATGTCCATACTCATTTTCTGCTTTTTCGTCCTTGGTGATTCTTTGTCGTCGCGATGATCCTTTTAGATTAGCTTTATCCATTACTGCTTTCCCCCTCATATGTTTTTGTTACAGGCAATTTTACCCTGTTTTGTTTCGGAGTACTGGTCGAAGCCGGCTATGGCCAACCTTCGGATCGGTGGCGTTCTCCACTTTCCGGTCCAATCAAGTGTCCACTGGACAAAGCTCCGCCTTGGCCGGTCAGAGTACTCGGAGCAGAGATACTCGGAACAAGAAATAATTACGCTCTGCCTCTACTAGCTATATATAAAATATATGGCATTTTTTCAGCGGCGTTGTGATTTTTATATTGATGGTGCTGACCGAAACAATGATGATCATTACAGTTATTATTCCACAAAATTGATTCTAACAACATGGCAATGAGATGCGCTCGCGCGACGCCAGCTTCGGCGACGACAGGCAAAACAGTATTTAGTTAGCAGTATCACAGCGATACGGGTCGTTGTAATAGGGAAAAGAAAAAGCGACAATCGATTTTGTTTTGGGCTTCCGCCCAACAACCACAAATCGTTTAACCAAAACTGAATGCTCTGAGTTGAAGGCAGGATTTTGCATTAACGGAGATTCGTGTTCGCTATTGTGGGTCTTGTTATTTGACTACAACGGTAAGGCACATGCAGTAAATAGGCAAGGAGTAAATAAACGGAACCGGCCGAATAAGATAAAATTGAATCATCTTTTCCGGCTCTCCGAAAAATATTTAAGCAAAAAAATTAGCTTCGAGGAGTTGTAGCGGTATTGTGACTTTTGTTGCTTAACTATAACGGCCACGACCTTAAGACAGTTCGGCGCCCACGTGCACTATCCATTCATTTTCATCTGTAGTAGATCGTAGCCATCGACGAAAAGCAGGACAACTCCACGTCTAAATTTTATGTGTCTCAAATAAGATTGAGGACCAGCCTGATTAGTGACGTTGTAACGTTGCACGCACACACTGTTTGCTGTGTGACTAGCATCCCGTCTACGCGGGAACCGTTCTAGTAGATAGGCACATTTTAGAGACTTGTAAACGTTCTTGTTTTTTTCTTGCCATGGTCTTCTTCACAAACGATGCGGCTCAGATTAAACAGCCAACAACAAGGACCTATAAAACGATTAAGCGAACGTATCCATCCTCGCTAAGGGAGGAGAGCATGGCAGCTCGAAAAACTGCCAAAAGCGAGCACCGTTGTAATATCGTGCTATTCTGACCGTAGATTGTTTGACGGAACCCCGTGACCCTCCGTCGGCGTTCTGTTTGCCACTGGCATTGTCTCACGTGCTCATGTAGCCTACAGAAACAATAACGTCAGATGGCATACAAGTGCTAAATAGTCAGGGAAATATGGAAAACGTAAGTGAGAGAGGATTGGAAAACTGAAATTATCAGTAAACAAAAATTTCCAAATAAAATTCTATATGTCTTTGGGGATATTTTTGTGTAACATGATTTTTAATTAATAAATATAAGACAGTTTTACAAAAAATCGTTACGTGAGTTGTATGCAATTGGCGATGTTACGATTTTTCAATAAATATCACTAATGGGCAAATATATCTAGTGGGGAAACCAGGGCTCTGAACACGAGGTAGAATTATTTGACAGCTGCTTTACCTGTTTAATTTATAACAAATTAATGAATAATACCGTTATTATATTATTAATAATATACTGTCATTTTTTTTTACCAAACGTTGGCGACTTCGTCGCAGTTACGACGAGCTTTTAGAAACGTTCTGGCTTTCTAGTACCCTGCCTGACATCTCCCAGGTTTTAGGGCCATAGCTTGCTGTCCACAAAAATTATGTGCAGCTGCATATGAAGCATTGTGGAGTATTCATGCACATCATTACTCATTACGCGTTTTTTATGCGGTTGTATGCAGCATTACTATCGATTACAGAAAGGTTTACTATAACAACCCCATTACGTCGAGAAGCATGCACATACGAATACATCAACATCGACCAGCAGGTTCAAAACCAAGCAATGCTCTCACAGGCCGTCAAGTATAAAAAAAAAAACACTTGATTATCGACTATAGCGTCATGATTTGCAGTGCGATGGAAGGAGAGGATGCTAATACAGTCACGTACGCGTTCAGCCATTTCCTGTTTTTCGCAATAGCTTTCTCATTCGACGATTTCTTTCGAACCTTACCTATATATGGATATGTCATACGAGAAACAGTGTTTTGCTTCGAAACACCGTTCCCCATATGTCGCCAGAGGTAGGTACGTGAAACGTGTGAGGCAGCCATATGGATTACGTGCCATTGTCGGCCGGATTCGTTACAATGGCGAGCGGTATCAGCACGCGCCGTCACTGTTTTTGTTAGCACTATTCCTCCATTTGTAAGGTATCTATATATACTTGTATGCACAAAACCTTTACGGGAGCGATACACATGTGTTATAAATATGTAGCATTAGATCAAGACGTTCTTATATATCTGAGGCTGCGAGTTTCATCAACTACTTCATATTACCGGAACGGAAAATAATTTTTACTAAATAGAGCTAGACTTAAATAAACTAGTTCAGTCCACACAGTGGAGAACAAGAAGGTCGCCGATATTGATTTGGCAGCGCTAGTGAACCCCACATTTCCTAAAGGGGAGAACAGACTACTATAAGTGCTGCAACCCCATGCCACAGTATGACTCTACTCAGATTTAATACAGTAATTACAAAGAGGAGAAAATTGTGGCGTAGTTGACGACGTGGGACTTCTAGCTAGAGCGTTATTCATTCACCCGGCGAACCGAAAACGAAGAAGAAGAATGAGACCTGTGAGCCAAATCTGTAATATAATCATTAGACCTCGACGCTAGGACGTCTCTATAGTCGGCAGTTCCGTATAAATAAATTAGCTCGTCCTCCTTAATGAAGGTCCTACTAAATAGGTTATACGAAGTTACTTATCGGCGCTTGAATAGCATGTTGACGTATAGTCGTCGTATGTATTTGTAAAGGGCCGATTACAATCGCATTCATCATAGCCACGAAATACAGGTGTCAGGAAAATGCCCCGTAAAATGTCCGAAAAAAAAACGTGCGAACTACTCACGTAAGCTTCCACACAAATACAATAATTTATTCTAGCAGTGTTAAACGTATGAAACGCAATAAATTACGTATTCCACAAGCCAACATTAATAATTATATAATATATACGGAAATTGCTTAGAATGTAATATGCCTTAAAGCTACTAGCTTTTTGGTAGACATACAATTTTTGCGTATGCATTGCGCACTATAGAGCCAACGTCGTGCAGGTAACATGAAGTGAGCGGCCTGCTACGTTTTCGCATGCAGGGGCAACGTGTAATCTTGATAGTGAAACTGGTGACGATAGAGCTGTGTAGACACGGACAGCATAGTCCATACCTGAAAAGTCGTGCTTTGAAATACAGCATTTGCGGATATCATTTTTATCTCTCTTTCGGAGCTATTGGCCAATTCCGAACACAGATAACGATACAGACACAGGCAGGCACACACATTGTTCAGAAACATCGATGTTTGTGTATATCTCGTGAAGTTGAGCAGAAGAGGATCTCATCAGACGCGGCCTGCCCCATTGTCTCTTATCTGTTGTTAGCAAAGTTTATAATACAAGGCGGTCTTATCTATGTGTCGCTCTTACCACTATAACAACACAATGATAGATTAATGTTGATTATTATGATTATATTACCAATGACGACAATGTTTGTCGATCGATGAATTTCAGATCCGCGCATCGCTCGACGAACGGGTGTGAAGAAATACTTGTCACAGACTAACCACTACATTGTCCCTACCAAGGAGTCTAAAGGAAAATATCGCAAAGGAGTGCCTCAAGGAATCGATTTACGACGACAGTCTGCTGACAGAGGAACCATCGAACCTAACGATCAGCAATCGCCGGTGGGTATAGATTGTTTAACGACTTTTACTCTTTGACATTTAATCATTCTGGATTGATCCAGATTGACAAAAACGTAATGATTGCGTTTACTAACAAAGCTTTCAAAGGAATATATTCCAATGCAATACTGGCCTATGCTTCTTCTTCATCGTACAAAAGTAATATGCATATATAACATATACAGGTAATAAATGTAAAAGCTTACAAAGAAATAGAATAAAGTGCAATCGACACGAGAGACAATTTTGATGATGAACTAATGATTAAACCTGGAGTCATCAGTTCCTTCACCAAACGTGGGCCAGTGTCACTCTTCTGGCCAAGTAGAACTCGCGAAACCCACAACTTTGAAAGGACTCTTCTTGCAGAAACATGCATCGATGTTAAAAGCGAAGGCCGAAGAAATTTATCGCCGTTAATCTAATCTGAAATGCAAACAAAAAAGAAACCTCTACTTGTAAAAGGGCCGCATGTTAGACTGATGGAGATGGAAAAAATCAAGCCGACAGATTCCGGATCGTTCGTATTTTTAAGAAGGCCTAAATCATAAAGAAGACGTTGTATTCATCGTTTCAAGAACTGAATGAGAGGGGTCCCGTCAAAGAACCGACGAAGATGTTACGACGGAGCATATGATTGAGATGGAGTTTATATCTAAAATGAGTTTTGATATAAGCACACACGAAAATGTCGGAGTGCTCGTTACAACATCTCTCGTAGCTGCCATGCGCTTGTGTAATATGCAGGGGCAACCGGCGAGAGTTTTCTCTTTGACTAAAAAGGCTTCGTCGAGCAGCTTTTCTGTGTTAACGTACTGCTTGCCTCTTTCAGTCCACCTCAGAACATTATACAGAATTTTTTTGAGTCACAGCAGACTGGAAAAGACGATATACGCTCGTGAAGTCGTGAGGAACTCATTGGCTGTATATTTTCGATTTGTCAAGGCGGTCCTGCTGCTGGTGCTTCTGTTGCTTCGTCATTTATCGAAATGTCTTCTGACAAATAAGCAATACAGATCTAGCCTTGTCCGTTGAATAGTTTGGATCAAATCAAAGGAAGTTCTCTTTGTATCCTACACATGCAATAGCCTATGTAGTTCGTAAGATTTTCCGACATTCTATAATGGCTCGTCAGTTTTAATCCACTACCGACGTTCCGAGCTTCTCAAAATAGTCTGGTTTCGACACAGACATGAAGTTAGCGCAGAATGGTAATGTAGTCTGCTACGTTCTACGAAGTTCAAGCACCTACAAAGTTGAATAAATGTTTGACAGAATATTGTCTCTTCGCATGTTACGGCACAATATCTTACTACAAGAAACATGTCTTCATTTGAGTCTCTAGTCTTAGATGATTGGTTATCCAAATAAGCATGAGCAAAAAGCCTCATCTAGCCATAGAAAGTAGTATGTGTTTAATCCCAAAGGTTACCACGATGGCACTTGTCTAACAGGTTGTCAGTTTCATCTAACGGAGATCGCAAATATTTTAAATCAAGTTCGTGGGGGGCATCAATCTATTTGAAACGTTCGTTAGCTTAATATCGATTTGAATTGTCGTTTGGGGTTATTGGTCGGAACCAATTCAGTTCAGGTTCTTTTTCCGCCGCATCTCCATCTAATCTAGTATCCCCCGCCCTAAAACGACGTTATGCATGTCTACGCTGTGGAGAAATGCCATCGGACAAAAGCAATTTAAATACCCCACGCTGCGACTGGGTCGCCGATCAAAACCAAGGGAACAACGCTGAACTACTGCATTGAGTGAACGGCTACCAATGCATGCATAGTATGCGATGTTACCGTACCGCTGCTCATGCCCTTAATATGTGTATGTATAGGTCGCTGCAGGTTCCACCAACACCGGTGCGCGTCAAGAGGAGAGATTATACCTATCACTGTTTCATCCGCCGTGCAAAAATCTGAAGGGCGGATCCGCCTACGTGGGGGTTCCCCAAAAAAAACAGGAGGATTGCCCCAAGAAGAGAAAAGAGGCAAAAAAAAAAACCCACAACGTCCCGTACCGCTCACAGGTGTACCTTTTCGACCACCACATGCTCGATATACCTGCGACTCTCACCTCAGCTACATATATATATATATGTACTCTTATATAGAGCGTTTACGAGTCAAGCGACTGGTATGCAGCGACACATTATGTACAGTCGAATTGAGCCGGCCCTTGGAGATGTTTCGAGACATCGAAGAATTGCAAAAGACCACACCGTACCGAAAATACGTGACGCGGCCTATGTGTGTTCATAAGCATGTCCGTAGATAATCATTCGTACGTTACAAGACATCGGGAAAATCGTAACAACTTCATCATACCATTTGGCTCAATTCTGCTGTTACGCGGTATGACTGTAACTCTGTATGCCCACAGCAGGCGATTTAAATACACAATAAGTATATTGTGCCTGACGAACCAGCTGGGAATTGGCAGCGGCAGCTTGGTAGAACATTATTCGAGACGGTCGAATAGAACTAAGCGGAGCACATTAATCGTCGTCCAAGTATCGTGAGGATTTTTTGAGTCGGTGGAACTATGGGGGAACTGTCCTGGCCATTGGATCAGTGAGATGAAGTAAAGAGTCGCCGAACGAGATCTGTGAAGATTTTCGCACGTTTTTATTGCTGCGGATACCGAACGGTATATAGACATAGGTTTCTACGGCGGACAAAGGGCCGTCTATTGTGTCGGCCGATGGCTGAATCACCGTGCGAGACAGTAAAAAATAAAGAGAAACGGAAATAGCCATTGTTAGGTTTGATTGTTGGGGTCAATACTTATGCATGCCTGTATGAATCATGCGAATATACCCTAGTCAATTCGTCCTGGTCGTCTATAGTCATTATTGGCCATCTCTTTATGCGTTATGTTCCATCATTTGGTAAGAAAATACGGTAGTATAATGCAGCGTCGTTATAAGATGACTACACGTAGGATGTACAACACAAACGGGGTTTAATAGGTACGAAATCAACAACAAACTCAAAGATTCTGATCGAAGGTCAAAGACTTCAGTGATACCTCGAAGAAGCCCAGTTAGACTGAATCTTATATTGTGAACAGGGCGGCAACTCACTAGATCACTATGTATGATGACCACTTCAGCATGAAAGATGTAATATAATGAAGGCAAGTCTTCAGCCAGACTACCATTTCGTGCTACCGAGAGTTCTCTGCTTTGCAGCTATTGTCGGTATTATTATTCGCAGTCATTACTGTAGCTCTGGGTATACCGCTGGGAACGGCAAGGTCATCATTTGACTTCATGTTTGATAGCTGCTCGGAACAGCGTCAGTTTGTCACCAAAAGCCATCGAACGATTGAGACAGATCGTTAGATAGATTGTTCCTTAGAGAGATGAAGACAACGGGGGGAAAGAATAACTACATTCTTTCGAAAACTTCTCTATATACCAGAATCGTATTTGCTGAGAAGAATATTGCCTAAATAGCCGATCTTGTATTCTGTGCTTGAGTTAGATTGACGATAGCGACCCTCCCTCAAAAACCTGGCTTCGGAGAGCATTATATTTCCAGTAGCAAATCTCCGAAAGTCGTCAGCTTGCTGTCTTACCGACTTAGCCTAAACCAACCACCATCCAACCCTTTGTCAATTGCGACTGCCATATATTTTGAATTTTTTCGACCCGCACATGAACACGTAATCGAACATGCGCACTAATCATACGGAACAGATTGGAAAATGAGAATACAAAAGCAGGGGGGTAAATGAGGATACAGCTAAACAGGTGGCCCCTATGATTTGGAAGGCGATCAGGCTCGTCTTGTCAGGACACGGCAAAGCAATCGTTCTTTACTATGGGTAGGGACTATTCATCAACAAGAGCGCAACTCTAAACACTAGTAGTTATTATATACTTCACCTATCGCGAGAGACCGTTGTAAGAGTACAGATGTCACAGGCCACACTGTTTGGCGCTATCCGTTCGGGTTCCTAAACGCCATTCTGTTGCATAACGCGATCAGGTCTAAGCATTGTGACGTTATGCTGAATTGTGTTGCCTTCCTTCCTACACCATTGGCGCGTATAATTGTCTCCCTCTAGCGACCTACGGGACTCCCGCCGTTCTATATGGAAAGATTTGTCATTAATTAGTTTGATACCTGGTTGTGGTGGCGGTGGTGGTGATGATCGTATTTTTTTGCCGGACCTCTCGTACAACCACTGTATGTAAGTTATGACAAAACTGCCGCAACGAGATGAACAACGCTTATAAGGCGGTGCAAAGACGGATCTACTCCTTTGTGATATCGAATCGCTATTGATGACGCTGCTATAGCCGCTATTTTGCTAGCAAATACTGGGTTTGGTGTTAAAATATTTAAAAGCTTCACTTTCACCTCACATTAAGCAAATGGACAGCAGATAGTGAGCTGTAAAGAAGTTCGTTGTCCAAGCTGATGGTGAGGTAGCCTAAGTCCGCTAGGATGACCCAATGTAGACATTTGCTATATCACTGAAGACAGTGGTGCGGTTTCCAACGTTGATTACGACAAAAAGCATAATGGTTATGATAATGATGATGCTCATACTTTTATGGTGGTAAATATGATGTATTATATAATACCTCAACAAAAGTCTCGTCGCAACAACTAAAACAGCCGGCACAAGCCATAAAGAACGTCGTTTCGCGCTAGCCAACGACAACAGCAAATCAGCTTTCATGCATTACATATCGTATTGCTATTATTAGATTGAGTCGTCGCCTAAATCGCTTAACAACAGCCAGCGGTGGCACGGGACGCCCCTTTGCGCGCAGGACATGACCCGATGCCGCTGCTACATCGTGACTTCGTGTGTGGCGATTCGGACATCGGCCGCATTCGAAGGAGGCACAGCGCGTAACCTGCCGTATACGGTGTCTTGGCCTCGTTGGACCACACTACTAGCGCCACCTGTTAACAGACACAATAGCTAGCCAGGACAGAACCGATGTATGTGATTTTCGGCCTGATACCTTTATAAC